CACACACACACACACACACACACACACACACACACACACACACACACGTTATTCTCCTGGTGTCCACTAGAGGCATCACTGCTGTAATATTTAAAACTGCTATACTAAATATTATGGCAGATTTTGACACTTTTGTCCCCTCAGAATCACTTTTTTTAAGGGAGATTCGAGGGTTAAGTGTCCGACCTGCGGTGCAGAGCTCGATGACCTCGCTCCACTGAGAGACGGCGTATTCTCCGTTCGGCTGTTTGGCGGCGGTCTGGACGGACACGGTGTACTCTGTGCGAGGACTCAGGAACCAATGACCTCTCACCGTCATCGGCAGCGGAACCGCCTTCGCCACCAGCTTCGTCGGTACATCCTGAAAAAACAAAGACGCAGGAGGACCGTTTCCAGTTTCCAGTCGGTGCAATTAAAACCACCACAGAGGAAGAAGCGTTCGAATGAGACGGTTTCGGTTTTGTTTAAAACCTTCTGAACCCCAAAGACGCTCGAGGTGTTTTTGGCTCCGGTCACATTTTTCTCCCGGTGGTCTTTACTTTCTCTTGATTTAACGCAGGTTGAATTCCTTCAGTAATTTATTTTACAAAAATTGGAAGACAATGGAATCTATATTTCAACATTCTTCCAAGTGTTCAAAAGTGTCACCAATGTTAAAAAACGTGCTAGAAATATTGAGGAATTCACGTGTTTCCAGCTTCTCCTGTCCCCTAAATGCTGTTTTTGGGCTTAACCCCAAACCTCCCGGTGGACGTTTTGTCGGACCAACCTTGTGCTTGAACTTGTTGGAGCTCTTGTTCTCCGTCTTGTTGAGGTCGATGAAGTAGTGAGTGATCCTCTCGCTGCCTCTGCTGTCCATGTCCCAGCTGATCTTGAAGGAATCACAGGTGATGCTGCTGATGTGGATTTGCTGAGGAACCGGCAGGTCGATGCTGCCGTCTGCAGACTCTGTGGCTGGAAGAGAGTCAGTGCATCACTTTAAGATCTTTACTTTACTGATTACTTTATAAAGATTTCTCTCACTTCTGTTCTTCATCTGAGCCCAAAACTCTTTTCATGATCATAAACAGGATGTTCTTTGTAATAGTACAAGAAGTATTCAGGTCCTCTACTGCAATAAAGTACTAACACCACACTGGGAAAATACTCCACTACAGAGAACAGTCCATGCAGAACCTGACGGAGGTAGAAGTACATAAATGTAGTAAAAGTATCGAATGATCGGTAAAATGTTTCCTTTTCTATCTAATGTTTCTGGATTAATATTCCTGCAGCATTAATGTGTGTTATTGTACCTCCTTCATATCCTGCTCACTTAATGCTTCATATTCTATAAGCTCCTCACGTGTTTGTAGCCTCGGATCTCTACAAACAACAAACAGCATCAACACATCTGGACAGTGAAGTAAAGTCCATGATGTAATCAGATGATGTCTCTGTGTGCTATTAGTGAGGGATTAACCCTTCATTGACTCTGACCTCAGAGCCCACAATCACAGCTGGTAATGAAATATTCACCAAATGCATTCTGGGTAAGGCACACAAACTGTCCGTCTTTTTGTGTCGCTCTAATAATGCCTCCCTCCTCCTCCTCCCTCCTCCTCCTCTTTCCTCCTCCCTCCTCCTCCCCTCTCTCCCCCCCCCCTCCGAGGACAGAAGGCTTCAGAGACTGTGAACAAGGAGGCTGTTGATGAGGACAGTTCAAACTGTAACGTCTTGTTACGACTCATCTGATGATTTCTGTGTAAAAGTACTAATACCATGATAAAAAAAATACTCTGTTACAGTAAAAGTACTAATACCACACTTTAAAGTGCTTAAAAATACTTTTCTTACACTGAAACTTTCCCTCAAACTCTGTACTTCAAACACAGCAGTGTTCCAGCTGGCCTCCTTCCTCCTCCTCCTCCTCCTCCTCCTCCTCGGTGAATGGAGGAGGTGAAGCGTCTATTCACTCTCATTAGAAGGTAATTATCCACAGTGAAAGAGATTCAGCAGACTTTTAGTCCACAAAGACCTGAGAAACATCGTCACCTCGAGTCCTTTCAGTGTCTCACAGAGATGATTATTTACTCTAATATTATTACCACCTGGACACACTGTTCTGAGATATGAATATATATAAACTACTGAAAACAAAAGGAGAGCAAATCTTAAAAGTAAGAATAGCGATGTGGAACTGCAGGAAAGAGAAACAAAAACCAACCACAAGAGACACAAAAAACCTACAAGAGACACAAAACAAACTACAAGAGACAAAACAATTACAAGAGACACAAGACAACATACAAGAGACACAAAACAACATACAAGAGACACAAAACAACATACAAGAGACACAAGACAACATACAAGAGACACAAGACAACTACAAGAGACACAAGACAACCACAAGAGACACAAGACAACATACAAGAGACACAAGACAACTACAAGAGACACAAGACAACCACAAGAGACACAAAACAACATACAAGAGACACAAAACAACATACAAG